TATCAGATCAAAATACAGGTGTTAGTATCAGATCAAAATACAGGTGTTAGTATCAGATCAAAATACAGGTGTTAGTATCAGATCAAAATACGGGTGTGACAATAAGATCAAAGTACGGGTGTTAATGTAAGATCAAAATACAGGTGTTAGTATAAGATAAAAATACAGGTGTTATATTTAAGATACAAATAAATGTGTTTGTTTAAGATCAAGATAATGTAAGTTTAAGATCCAAATACATGAGACTTAAGTCGTAGATCAAAATATTGTTGTATGTTTAACACAGGTGTGTTGACCTTTAGGTAAGTGGTCTACAGGTGGGGAGGATACTTACCTTGTCAGTCTGACAGGTAGGGAGGACACTTAGCCTTTTAGCCTACAATATCCGCCTACTTCAGTGTTACTGGTGGTTCCTATGATAACCAGCCCTGCGCTGTATCCAGACTAAGGAGTAGAGCTAAATGTCAGGTCTTGTTAGTGTTTCTCCTATCATAATGATTGTCTCTGTAACAGTGAATATAGTCTAGCCAGCTATATAACGGGGTACCTACATGAGGACTTTGTTTTGTGGTTCCGTACCTGAATATTGACCTCAATCATTCTGGCACTTCTCCCACCCTGTCTGTGACCTTCAAGAAATCCCTGGGGTGACATTCCGATAATCTAGCTCTTTAGCATCTTCAGTCCTTCCAGGTCTCTGGTCCGGGCCATCAGGACAAGGAATATTTTATCACATTTTGAAATGTTTCCAGGAAGATAAGGCTTGTCTGGATATGCCTTGAAAAATAGATAACTGACATTTTTCCTCAAATATTAGTCATAAATGTCATAGAAAATGTTGTACGAACATTGAAAGCGTTTTAGGTGTGATATCGGACAGATATTTGCGAGTGTTAGAGGGTAGAGACTGTCGGGGCTCAACAAGAATTGCCCAGACACCTTATCTCACAGATAGTACTGCTCCAGAGTAGACACCAGTCTACCACCGCCTCCCATTACCCTAAACACTTTATATCCTATCATTGGCATCGTTATTGGGATCTTTGTTGATGTCACTTTCTACAGATGCATTTCATTTAAAACCATCTCAAAATGCATTGAATAGAGTAATAGCTGCTTCTTATTTCTACATAAACAAAAAAGAAAAACAGACATTTCTGGTCTTTAAGTTGGTATTGGTCCATTGTTGACACTAAACTTGACCAAATTTACTATTCAGGATTATAAATGCACAGTATTATAATGAAAGATGAATATATTGCTAAGGGAGACTACTTCAGGTCAAATGGAGCTTTAAAGTCAAACTATTTACAGTTATAAATTGTATCTTATACAACCATAATGGTTTTATATCTACTAAAGTAAAATATCTGGATGATCTTCTTCGTTACTTCAATAAATATGTAAGGAAGTTTGAGGCAAACATCCTGACCCTGGGAGGGTAGGGGCAGACAACCTAATACAGGGAGAAAGGGGGCAGACAGTTCAATAGTGGGAGGTTAGGGGCAGACAACTCTATACAGGGAGAAAAGGGGCAGACAACTCAATAGTGGAAAGTTAAAGGCAGACAACCCTATACAGGGAGAGAAAGGGGCAGACAACTCAATAGTGGGAGGTTAGGGGCAGACAATCCTATACAGGGAGAAAAGGGGCAGACAACTCAATAGTGGAAAGTTAGAGGCAGACAACTCAATGCAGGGAGAGAAAGGGGGCAGACAACTCAATACAGGGAGAGAAAGAGGGCAGACAACTCAATAGTGGGAGGTTAGGGGCAGACAATCCTATACAGGGAGAAAAGGGACAGACAACTCAATAGTGGAAAGTTAAAGGCAGACAACCCTATACAGGGAGAGAAAGGGGCAGACAACTCAATAGTGGGAGGTTAGGGGCAGACAATCCTATACAGGGAGAAAAGGGGCAGACAACTCAATAGTGGAAAGTTAGAGGCAGACAACTCAATGCAGGGAGAGAAAGGGGGCAGACAACTCAATACAGGGAGAGAAAGAGGGCAGACAACTCAATACAGGGAGAAAGGGGGCAGACAGCTCAAAAGTGGGAGGTTAGGGGCAGACAACCCAATACAGGGAGAATGGGGCAGACAACTCAATAGTAGGAGGTTAGGGGCAGACAATCCTATACAGGGTGAAAGGGGCAGACAACCCACTACAGGGAGAAAAGGAGCAGGCTTGAGATCCAGTACTTGTGAGTTTTGGGCAGACGACCTAAATACTGTGAGGCTCTGAGCAGACAATTGGAATGCCAAGTCATTGCCATTCGCTATTATCACCCGGACAGGAATCATGCTCCAGGCTATTAATATAATTGAAACGTATTCCACATGAAGCTGATTTAATACAGATTTTATGTAGTAATTCTAGAGGATGTTAATTTTGATAAAAACACAATTAGGAAAATGGCCTAAGTTATAGAGATTTCATTATATGCCTAGTTGACACTTAACAAGTTTTACGATGAGGTTTCAGGATAAAATTTTTATAATTTGATATAAAATGTCTTTGTTCTTGGTGGTAATATGGTCTCCCGTTCCCACTCCTCTATCTTCCCTCAGGCGGTTTTGATGATAATATGCCCCCACCCCACTCCACCCCTACCCCAATACCCACCGCTGTCCCGGTTGTCGTGGTTTCTCTGAGTGCCTTTCCAGACAGATTTTTGTTGGTAATTAAAGCTGTCAGTCATTAGATGGTAAATAGAACTGACTTGGACATGTTCCCGTGACATACGATATGCTAGCCAAGATCGCTGATGCACGTCCTGTTCCGTATCGCACACACGATCTACAGAAAATATGTGTGATCAGGTTTTAATTGAAAACCTAGACCATTCTGCCAAGTCCCAAAATTTGGTTCTTATTTTATATTGATCAAACCATATTCCATTAGTTCTAATAAAATTGAATCAAATGTAGAATGGTAGGAAGCCTGTTTTATACCCTCTGTCACTTTACACTGGCGAGTCATGTTGGCCGACTGGTTCTGCAGGCAGAGATCTACGCTGGCACTGTCGCTGTGTGAGCAGACAATTGGATCCCTGCAGCAGACACATTCTGACAAACGCTATTTATTTGAGGGAGCACTCAATGCCGTCAGTCAAGTAATTCTTGTTGACAGGGAAGGAATGTTTTCCCATTTGTGTTATGTAAAGATTAGGATTCGACTCTGGAATTAGGTCCATCACTATGCAACTTGTTATCTCTAAGTAAACAATGTGGTGTCTTTGACTTTGGTTGGATATTTTTTGTAATTCCTTAATCTTAAGAGAAGCACATGAAGAAAGAGAAGAATTTTCTATTTTAGTTTGATTTGCCCCGTGATTTTCTGACCTCAGCTGACCTTTGTGAAGATGTTTTTTTGACCTCACTCTCCATTGATTTCCCTCCATTAGCTATTAGCTCGTCTTCGATATTGCCCTAATTACATTGTGTTTGAGGTGAACTCAGGACCTGGCCTCCTCGCTGTCGGATTAGCGTTCTGTCTCTCCGTCGGCTTGTCTATCTCACAGATTCCACCGGGGGGGAGATTTCGTTCCAATGCTGTTCATATTTGTGTTATCTCCATGTCTACCTAACAATAAGGATGTGATCCCTGTGTACACAGATACTTGGTGATATATGGGAGGTGTAGCATGAGAGACCTATTACGCTCCCCACCACAGCCAAGTCTCGTCTTTACATATGTAACCGAGAACTTAAAAGTCCCTCTGGAGCAAGAAAAATGTTTTATTTTTTGCCCACTCCTTATCCAATATCGGAATAGTTTTAAGATGAGTATATTAAAGGAGAAATAATCCGTCTGTTCCTCTGATAAACTTACACTCACAGAGCAAACCTTTCTGTAATGCGTACAGTTTGCTGTATGATAGGGCAGCGCTCAGAGGGCAGACCTTTCTGTAACAAGTATCGTTTGTGGTAAGTGGAGCCTGATTCTGACAGGAAAAAGCCTAGCATTTGGTTTGTGTTAAGTGTTAGCAACAAATTATTGAAAATAAAAAATATGAAAGCTACAAATTATTGAAAATAAAAAATGTTATGAGAAAATACTACATTTCAGGAAACAGTGCATTATGAAATGATTGTTTAAACATTGGTCATTATCTAATGCATGCAGAAGGCTAATATTGGCCAGTCTTTACTGCAGTGTTACGTCAGATTCTTGTACCAGCCAAACTGTTAAATTCATTGCTATCACAGATGAAAGAAACAGTTAATATTTGGCAAATTAGGCAGAGCATCACCATGCATGCAGAAATACCTGCTGTTACCTCATAAATCTGAGATCTAAATAGAAGCCACTGAACACATGTGTAAAATATATAGCTCTGGTGTCATTAACTGTATTTGTACATCTTAGAAAACAATAGGCTGAAAAATTTGAGTGAGATATTGATTAGATATACACAGAAATAATAGAATTTCCTCAGGTTATCAAAAAGATGAAAAACATAAAGAAAGTGAGGGAAATTTTAAGAATCATTAAAAAAATGACCAACTGAGAGTCACCCAACTGACGTAATGTTAGAGAGCTGATACAAGGGAGATAATGCAGATAGTCACAGGAATATTACTACAAATTTTAGTAAACCTTTAAGTGGCCGTATACTATTTCTTCTCTTTTCAGAACCTGTGTTCCACTTTGAACATGCCAAATATACTGTTGACGAGAGTCAAAGAGAGGCTGAGGTTGTGGTTTTGCGTACTGGGACCGACCTTAGCCGTCCTTCAAGTGTGACTGTACGGTCACGACGCACTGACCCTAAATCTGCCGAGGGTAAATATCATTCAATAGTCTGTAGCATACTGTCAACTTTTCTCTGTGTATTTGATTTACGATATAATGCTAATATACTAAATATGGGATGTACTCCAACTGTTGGGGATTCAAATATAAAACTTGACACAATTCATTTACAATAAACAAAACCATTAACCATTGCCACTTCATTATTAACTGGATTTACTTTTACAATACTGTAAGGAGATGTGCTTTATTGTAGCTGGCTTTGACTACATCGCTGTGAACAAAATTCTCGACTTTGCTCCGGGGGTGTCCGAGAACACACTGAGGATCCGAATTCTTGATGACCTTGGCCGGCCAACCTTGGAGGGTCGAGAGACTTTCCTGGTAGTGCTGAGAATGCCAATGGGAGCCAGTCTGGCGTTACCAAGTACAGCTTCCATCACCATCGACGACTCGCAGTCTGATCGTAAGTGCTTCTCTAACATTGGGTGTCTGGTAATCCCGGACTTGGTCAGTGTAAATAGTAATATTTCATTCTTACACTAAAATGTTCATCGTCTGAAAATTTTAAAACAACTGATAGCTGATAACAACTGATAGCTGATAACAACTTTTACACAAAGTTTTCATCACTAGGCAGTGCTGCAGGACCTTTGTGCCATAAACAAGATCACAAACATACTGTACAACGTGCTGGTCTACCCATGTAAGGGGAGATAATACCATTATTGTTCTAAATCTTATATACATATATAATGATTGTACTTAACTGTGTGATTCGAGGACACACCCCTGTCATATTTCTGCATATGAATTCGTGAAAGGTCACATACTTTAAGGTTATATCAATATTTTAAAAGGGGGACAGTAGATAGAGCCAATATTTCAGAAATTTTACACTTAAAATTTGTTCTGGAAAATTGTATTTTTCACCACATTCTTATAAATTTTTGGTTATGTGAACCTGGAAACTAAATGTTACAGGCCCCTTTATTTGACCTTTATAATGTTGTAGGCCCCTCCATATAACATGTATGATGTTATAGGCCCCTCCATATAACATGTATGATGTTGTAGGCCCCTCCATATAACATGTATGATGTTGTAGGCCCCTCCATATAACATGTATAATGTTGTAGGCCCCTCTACCTGTTTAATTTTGTAGGCCCCTCCATATAACCTGTATGATGTTGTAGGTCCCTCCATATAACATGTATAATGTTGTAGGCCCCTCTACCTGTTTAATTTTGTAGGCCCCTCCATATAACATGTATGATGTTGTAGGCCCCTCCATATAACATGTATAATGTTGTAGGCCCCTCCATATAACATGTACATATGATGTTGTAGGCCCCTTTATTTGACCTGTATAATGTTGTAGGCCCCTCCATATAACCTGTATGATGTTGTAGGCCCCTCTATTTGACCTGGATAATGTTGTAGGCCCCTTTATTTGACCTGTATAATGTTGTAGGCCCCTTTATTTGACCTGTTTAATGTTGTAGGCCCCTCCATTTAACATGTATGATGTTGTAGGCCCCTCCATATAACATGTATGATGTTGTAGGCCCCTCTATTTGACCTGTATAATGTTGTAGGCCCCTTTATTTGACCTATATAATGTTGTAGGCCCCTCCATATAACCTGTATGATGTTGTAGGCCCATCTATTTGACATATATAATGTTGTAGGCCCCTCTATTTGACCTATATAATGTTGTATGCCCCTCTATTTGACCTGTATAATGTTGTAGGCCCCTCCATATAACATGTATGATGTTGTAGGCCCCTCTATTTGACCTGTATAATGTTGTAAGCCCCTCAATTTGACCTATATAATGATGTAGGCCCTTCTATTTGACCTGTATAATGTTGTAGGCCCCTCAATTTGACCTATATAATGATGTAGGCCCTTCTATTTGACCTGTATAATGTTGTAGGCCCCTTTATTTGACCTGTATGATGTTGTAGGCCCCTCCATATAACATGTATGATGTTGTAGGCCCCTCTATTTGACCTGGATAATGTTGTAGGCCCCTTTATTTGACCTGTATATTGTTGTAGGCCCCTCTATTTGACCTGTATATTGTTGTAGGCCCTTCATGTTGTAGGCCCCTCTATTTGACCTGGATTTATTTGACCTGTATATTGTTGTAGGCCCCTCTATTTGACCTGTATATTGTTGTAGGCCCTTCTATTTGACCTGTATAATGTTGTAGGCCCCTCTATTTGACCTATATAATGTTGTATGCCCCTTTATTTGACCTGTATAATGTTGTAGGCCCCTCCATATAACATGTATGATGTTGTAGGCCCCTCTATTTGACCTGTATGATGTTGTAGGCCCCTCTATTTGACCTATATGATGTTGTAGGCCCCTCCATATAACATGTATGATGTTGTAGGCCCCTCTATTTGACCTATATAATGTTGTAGGCCCCTCTATTTGACCTGTATAATGTTGTAGGCCCCTCAATTTGACCTATATAATGATGTAGGCCCTTCTATTTGACCTGTATGATGTTGTAGGCCCTCTATTTGACCTGTATATTGTTGTAGGCCCTCTATTTGACCTGTATAATGTTGTAGGCCCCTTTATTTGACCTGTATGATAATGTAGGCCCCTTTATTTGACCTGTATGATGTTATAGGCCCCTCTATTTGACCTGTATAATGTTGTAGGCCCCTCTATTTGACCTGTATATTGTTGTAGGTCCCTCTATTTGACCTGTATATTGTTGTAGGCCCCTCCATGGAGTTTGGCGAGGTACAATACATTAGCAGTGAGGAGGAGAATAAGGTTACAGCCATTATTGTCCGTCATGGAGACATCAGTCACGGGTCAAGTGTTCGCTGTTACACTAGACAGGGGTCAGCTGAGGTCAGTCTGGACTTCATAGAGCGGCCGGACACAGACGCTTCACTGGTCATCTTTAGAGCAGGTAAAACCGATTTATACACTCCCATCTAATACATGGAGGTCTGTGTTAATTCTTCGTTAATTTGCTAGCGTGTAAAATGCTAGCAGAAGTTTCTTGGTAAAATTTGGAGATTAACTGAACTTTGGTTTATTTACAAATAATAGGGATAGACCTTGACAATGACATAAACATACCTGCATATATTCAACTAATTACAATGTCATCATACCTGTATACTACAGGTGAGAGAGAAAAGCCCTGTGTAGTCAACATTGTGGATGACGATAAATTTGAAGTGACAGAAGAGCTCCGACTGGTTCTTGGCAGTCCAAACAGTGTGACAGCAGGCGGTGCCAACATCGGTCTCCAGAACGACACTGTTATTAAGATTACGGACGCCAGTGACAGTAAGTTGTGATCTTAACATCAGGTACAGAAAAACAGTCACTACTTATACTCACAATGTTTACTCATCAGTCACCTTCTGTATAGTAATTATCTCGAAAACTTTAAATTTTTAAGCAACTGCAAAATTTGCCAAGAGGATTTTAAATGTTTGTCTTTTTTGTCCGTTTGTAAGAAATCTTGGTTTCGCTTCATTACTCCTGAACTAGTTGCCAGGAAGTCATGTGGATACAGATTAAGGACAGGTGTACCAAACCAATATATTAAATGGAAACATTATTTTTGCTACACTGACTTTGGGTACATCTTGTATTTAGCTTCATTTCTATCAAAGCGAAGCTCAGACATTTGTATGCTTTTCCCACTAGTTTTAAATATTTTAACACTGTTTCCTGTCATGTAGGAAATTGCTGACAACACCCGACAGTATACTTGTATCAAGAAATGCTACAAAACTTCTATTTCTTGTCTTTCAGAGCCAGTGATCAAGTTTGCAGAGGACCAGTTCGTGGTGAACGAACCAATCTTCAAAGAGGACATATCTAGACTGACTGTTCCGGTCATTAGGTCAGGTGACCTGTCAGAGAGGTCAGAGGTCAGAGTGTTTACCAAGGATGGGTCAGCAAGGGCTGGCCAGGACTATAATGGCTTTTCCAGAGGTTTGTCACTGATTTCTACATAACTGGTGATGTCTTTGTGTCTGTCCGTCAGTCCATCTGTCTGTAAACACAAGTTTCGCGAGACCACTTCTCCTATGTGCTATTTATCAGTAATAACTTTATTTTCCCTTTTGGCACATATTTTAGAGTTATGTCCCTTTACTTAAATTACTGCATAGATTTCAGTAAACCTTTTTTTACTTTAAAACTATGCAATGTAGTTATTTTTATGCAATTTATTTTGAATTTGCAGAGTTATTGCCCTTTTTGAGCATAAATCTTGTTCAGACAACTTATCACACATAAGTTGTAAATGTCTATTAAGCATCATATACTGTTGTCTTGATGTTTAACACCTATAAATATGTATGAACTGAGGTATTTAAGTTACACTTGCTTTTGGCACAAATTCATCGTACTGTACATTTGAAAATGTTTGTGTTTTTGACAGTGCTGATATTTGAGGAAGGAATGTCACGTTTGGATGTGGAGGTGGAGATTCTGTTTGATGACATGAAAGAGAATCGAGAAGTGTTCACCATACATCTACGCCCTAACCACAACATGGTGGCTGAAGTAAGGGTCAGTATTTAACATCTCAAGGGAGGTAACTCTGGAGTAATTCCTACATATGGAAATACAGTCTCCATGTCGAAATCACAACATAGTGGCTGAAGTTAGGGTCAGTGTTTAACATACCAAGGGAAGTAACTCTGGAGTAAGTCCTACCTATACATACATACAATGTTCATGTCGAAAACACAACATGGTCACTGAACAATGAAAAAAATCTTAATTGGATTATACAAAATGATTACATCATAATATACGATACATATTGACTAGCCATACTGTATGTAGGCTATCAGACCCATATTACCAACACTGTAAGCTGTAATTCTCTTGTAAAACACACTTACCGTAACCAACCCCATAACTGACCCATCCCTTTTAAGTATTACCTCTGTATCCCTGTTTTTGGTCTGACAATCCCATCCTTTCACAATAATTTATCAACATACTGTCTGGTATGACTCGGGGTCCAGAGTGTTTACTATGTTGAATACAGTGAAATGGTATATTGAGCAACTTAGACCAACACTACGGTAATGTTTACAGAGGAATGCCAAGGCTATGGTGTACGTGGAGGAGAATAAGAAGATCATGGACGTCGTGTTTCCCACCCACCCCATCGTTGTGTCACTCAGGGATTACGACGATCCCCTTGGTAACCATGACAACCCTGTACATGGATACCCTGTCATCTGTATAACAGTGAGTATATTAAACCAGAAGGTCTGCTGACCACCTATGCTACAGTATCTAGACAATTAATTTAAGATCATGTTTAGAGGTTGGACATAAGTTGCCACAACACTAGGGGTCAAACCTCTGCCTAGTTCAGTCAGGCTCCAGATTTGGATCCCACAGCCAACTTAGAATGACTAGTTATCAATATAGTGCAAAGTGCATTGTATATCTGTATTACCGTCAAACAGTGATCTGGTACCAATGACTCCAGCTATAGTAGCTACAGTAAACAATAACAGTTCATTGTTTTTCATTATTTTTCATTAATTTGCAAAATACTCACACACTTAAAAAACACATATATTTATAGTGCAAAGTTACAGTTCATAGGTGACTGCAGGAAGATACAAAATATTTCAAAATGACAAGAAGACTGATTCTCATTGCCTTTTGCTGTTTCATAGTTTTTCAGCAGAAATGTGTATATTGATACACTCAGTAAAAACTGTATTCAGAAACCACATTCGGAAGTTCATAAAGTGGCGCGTTTCTTGGTAGATCATTTGCCTTAACACAGATGGTCTCTAAATATAGGTTCATTTAAAATGTAAAAAAACCTGTAATGAAGTGTATTAAAAGTGATCTCTTAAAAGAGGTAATATCTTGTTAAATGTGTATGTACTGTGTGAGTACTGTATGGGTACTGTATGTGTACTGTATGTGTACTGTATGGGTACTGTGTGTGTACTATATGTTTACTGTATGGGTACTGTATGGGTACTCTATGGGTACTCTATGGGTACTGTGTGAGTACTATATGGGTACTGTATGAGTACTGTATGGGTACTGTATGGGTACTGTATGGGTACTGTATGTGTACTGTGTGAGTACTGTATGGGTACTGTATGGGTACTGTATGTGTACTGTATGTTTACCGTATTTCTATTTACAGCCCTGTAACCCTAAACATCCTGACTTCGCCACATCGACAGGAACACTGTGTCAGACTCAGGAAATCAACGATACACTTACAAAGTTCCACTGGAAAGTGGCTCCCCCTAGTGGTCCTGACGGTATCACAAAGCCTCTTCGGGAACTGGAAGCATCGACATTCTTCGCCTCAACAAGGGGAATAACTCTGGACAGCATATACTTCAACAGAGGTCAGTCTTAGAAACAATACAACTGTGAAGTAAATAGGTTAAGTTTATTAGATAGCTCTGTGTTACACCTGTTTTGAAGTTTTCTATGTAATATATAAGATTTTGAAATTTTCTTGATTTCTTTATGATGAACCTGCATCAGAAATAATCAGGGTGTCCGTCTGTCCGTCCACACTTTTGTTTCCAGAGATTATCTCAGAAACCGAAAGACAGCTCTTCTTTCGGAAATGATATTTTGATATTATGATACACTATGAAATGTAGATGTGCAGTAGGGGTTTGTAAGGTCAAGGTAAACATAACTGTTACTAAAAATAGATTGGGGGGGGGGAGGGGGTCAGTCAGGTACCTGGAGGGGCTCTTGATAACCTGTCAGTGTTCTAATTGAAATTAAAATACAATTGAATGTAGTGATAAGTAATAAATTTGTCTTGTTAATTTAAGTAATCTTTGTTCTTCAGGAAGTAAAGTGCAGTGTCTGGCGCGTGCCGTCAACTTTGATGGTGATCCAGGGCGGGAGATTGAGAGTGTCCCAGTTACTATTAGTACTGACGAGGGACTCTGTCCTCCCAGGAACCCAGCCTCCATCGGGTCCGAGCCGTTCAGCAGCCGTCTTAGATACCTAGGTAAAACTTGATACAACAACAGTAACTCTGATATAGAGAAAAGGTTTATTACCAAGCTGTTTAAAATTGAGGGAAGTATGGAAATAAACTCATGGTAGAATTATGTATTGGATTGAGAATTAATGTTTCTATTCTTTGTCAAATTTAGGATCATTTAATCATACTGCCTACAGAGGTGACGGGGTATACATGTATATAGCGGTCCCTTTGTCTGGTCTGAACTTGTCTGTACTTTATAGGGTATATATAGCAGTCCCTTTGTCTGGTCTGAACTTGTCTGTACTTTACACAGATTATTTAATAAAACCGTATTAGGCATGTGTATCCAGACAAGACTGTGTGCCATAAGGTCAAAGGTCAAAGCAAGGTTCAAAGTCTATAACTGCAATGCTTGTACATTAATGACCTTTTTTGAAGTAAAACTTAGTACATGTACTATAGGAATGTGGATTATCACGCGAGGGGTAGATGTACTATAGGAATGTGGATTATCACCCGAGGGGTACATGTACTATAGGAATGTGGATTATCACGCGAGGGGTAGATGTACTATAGGAATGTGGATTATCACCCGAGGGGTACATGTACTATAGGAATGTGGATTATCACCCGAGGGGTACATGTACTATAGGAATGTGGATTATCACCCGAGGGTATGTTGTGTAAAACACATAGAACTGTGTCGCTGGCTCATTATGGTCATAATCAAGTTTATGTGAAATTTCATAAATACTCAGTGACTTATATCATGCTCCAGGTAAAACTATTCTGGGGGTAATGGCTAATAGCCACTATGTGAGACGCTGCACACATCATTTGAAATGTTTTGAAACCCTTAACTTCTTTTTTGACAATCATGTTTTTGTTAACAGGTCCGAGTGACCCTGTCCATCCTAACATGGTACGGGTTACCATAACGATTCCTCACCACGACGGACTACTTCCTGTGCTGTCCACTCGTCAGCTCTCAAACTTCGATTTCATACTTACCCATAATGCACTGCGTGTGGCACAACACAAGTGCTCCAACCTGCTGGACATCAGTGATCTTCAAGTGACCTCTGGGTTTGGCTTTGTATCCAATGATACCAGGAACCGTAACTCTCTAGGACTAGAGCCGTACCAGTTTAGCTCAACACTGAGGGGTGATTCAACACTGAGGTTCTACAGGTAAGTCAGGGGGTACAGGTAATATCTGTAATAATAAGTTATGATACCAGGAACCGTAACTCTCTAGGACTAGAGCCGTACCAGTTTAGATCAACACTGAGGGGTGATTCAACACTGAGGTTCTACAGGTAAGTCAGGGGGTACAGGTAATATCTGTAATAATAAGTTATGATACCAGGAACCGTAACTCTCTAGGACTAGAGCCGTACCAGTTTAGCTCAACACTGAGGGGTGATTCAACACTGAGTTTCTACAGGTAAGTCAGGGGGTACAGGTAATAACTGTAATAATAAGTTAATAATAACTCTTAATATAATTGCATATGCATCATCCCTCTCGATTGTATCTCCTGAACTTTTCTGTTGAGATAAATTTACCAATTTCTGTTTTTTGTTTTGTTTTTGATAATGTTTGAAAAAAATAACAATAAAATCTCCTTCGATAACATCAGAACTTTGACAACACAAACTGTTCTTTTTTACAGCTGTCTACAGTTTACATTAAAAATCATTTTACTTCCACCCAATTCAATGAGAAGAAGAGGGAAATGTTTAAAAAAAACTGTGAGAGAATTCACAAAATATAAATCTCAGTAAAGTTTACACATAGCGTATAGGAACAAATTTCAGTCAGATTTACTACTTTTTAGATCTGGAATGTTTTTTTTTCATCTGATTGAGACTATAATGGTGATATATTTCTATTCATACAGGAACTTAGACTTGGAGTCGTGCCTGTGGGAGTTTGATGGCTATTTTGACATGTCCGAGCTTGTGTCGGTATGCGGAGGAGAAATCTCCACAGATGGGCAGGTGAGTGTTCAAGATCGTCTGTTTACACTTTTCAAAGTGAGTTAAAATGTGATAAAAAGAAAAAAAAACTACTAAAATACTTAAACAGAAAAATTTCTATGAAAAATTGAAATACCAGGTTTGATGAGGATAGATAAAGTCTGCATAGAAGATGTCTGCCTCTGTCGTGATGACCAGGTTTGTCATGAAATATGTTCTCTTTATTACTTCCAGCCAATCAACTTGAAGCAGTCCCGAGTGACCATGTTTGTTCCGTTGTACGTGTCCTACATCTTCCACGCCGAGGCCGGAGGTTGGACGGCGGTCAACATGCAGACTGACCTGGAGCTCAGCTTTGTCTACGACACCGCCATCTTGTGGCAAAATGGTATCACCACAGCACCCAGGTCAAAGTTCAGAGGTTAGTCATGAAATATTCAAAGATTGCCTTATATTAACACTGATTTCATCTTCAAATACCATTACAAACAATGTTTGATTTACCAAGCAATCAAAGTGCTGATATTACTTAATCAAAAATTGTATACACAACATGTCACATGTGATATAACATTACAGGCGGTAACATCCAATCAAATACTTTGTGGAGTTGTACACCCATAATCATTAAATGTACATTGTCCGGTCATTTTAGTCAATTGCTAAATATCGCTAAATATGTGGGGATTCAGTCAACTGTCGAGAGACCTAACAGTAGGCAGGTTACGACTGCAACTCCTGGGTCTGACTAGTAGGACGTGGGTGAATTAACAAGTTTTAACCAAAATCAATATAATCAGTAAACATTAACGTGTCCATATTTTCAGGATCCTTGTACCCAACTAGTCTACGTATCCAGGACGACAAACGATTGATGGTGACGATCAGGACTACACCCAACTTCAGGGGCCAGTTTGTCCCTAGTAACTCAGGTACGTCAAATCACAGCTAACGAAAGTAATTTAGATAACTGGGTACTAATCAAAGGTAACACAGGTATGTCAAATTGCAGCTAGTAACAGTAATTAAAAATATGACAAGGTGCTAATCACAGGTAACACAGGTATGTCAAATTGCAGGAAGTAACAGTAATTTAAATTTCTAGGTACTAATCACAGGTAACAAAGGTATGTCAAATCACAGGTAACACAGCTACGTCGATCGAATCACAGGTAACAACAGTAATTCAAATTACTAGGTACTAATCATGTGTAGGTAAATCATAATGTTTATCTGCTAATTCTTTCAGAAATAAAACAAATTTAGTTTAATATTTAGCTCACCTGCCCGAAGGGCTAGTGAGCTTATGCAATGGTGCGGCGTCCTCCATCTTTTCCTTTGAACAACTTCTTTTGAAGAAAGGGCAGGCCTAGAGTCATGATATTTAGGTGACACTTCATTTGTAATAGCCCAGCAAAGTTTGATAACGAAAATGACCTTGACCTACTTTCAAGTACTTAAAACGACTTCTGAAGAACTGAAAGGTATAGAATCCTAATATGTGGCTGGTAGCTTCGTTGGTAAAAGCCCAACAAAGTTTGAGAACGAAAATGACCTTGACCCACTATCAAGGTCACAAGGGTCAAATATATGATGATGAATCTCCTTGAAGTCAGGGTACCCAGTCCTAAGGAGGTAGTTTTTAGACGTATAAGACTAATATTTTAGGCGGTACAAGGAGTATTGTTTGGTTGTGTGTGGTTTACATGTCCAGTTTGAGTCCTTCCCAATTTTCTGTAATTACATTCCCAGTTTTAGTCCTTCCCAATTTTCTGTAACTTATATTTTCAGGCACAGGTGTTGTTTCCATGGTTACCTCTCCTGATCATCCAGATATGACCTTCACTTTGACCCTGGTCAGGAGTGACCCTACATTTGACCAGCCCAATCAGCTGTGGCAGTTTGAATCGGACTTTGCAGTAAGTTTGACCATTTATAAAATCTTACCACATTGCTGTGTAACTTTTTCTAGCACACGTTTCTGGCCTTGACCACTTTTGTTATATTTTTGTTGTTGTTTTTTCACTGCCTCTGATCACTAATGTGTTTGTAATTGTCACAGTTATAACAGAACAAAACATCAAAATTCTACAAGGACTTTGGAAAATTTAAATATATGAAATTCTCCTTTTTCTTTTTTTTTTTGCTTTTTTTAATTTGATGTGAAATTTATTAAAAGTTTGTTAAATGAAAAATTGACTTTAAGATATGAAAACTCTTTCATTGTCTGTTGATAGTTTTACATTCTCACATTGGCTTATGTGTCAAAAGGCTATAAAAAGGTTCTTTATGAATGAAATTAAAGGGTCAGTTAAAAACATTAACTTCTTAGTTAGGGTTTATCTGAGATTCTCTATTAACTTTATGTCATCACCTAAGGATATAGATTATCATTTGTCAGATAGAACCCTTGGTGATGAAAGGGTTTAGCCAAGGGGTCAAAGTTCAATAAAGACATTTTTGTTTGAAATTTCTGTTAGCAATAACAATGTTTGTCAGAATATTTTAACTGAAGGAGGGTTGCTGATTTGGTAAAATCAGGACTGTACAATGTTGGTTATAAACAGTATTATATATCAGTCCATTTTAGAACCTTAAACTTGTCCAAAGTATGGGCATAGAGTTTACTTTACTCAGATTTTAATCCATGGTTTCATCAATTTAGAACAAAATCTGTCGGGCTAAACCTTTTAATCTAAATGGCAGTTGTTGATCTCAAATTTTGAAAACTGTTTCTCCCATGATGCACCTTGATGACACACTTCACTGGTTTTGTTTACAGGTGAAGGACTACTCCGGGCTGTACCACGTCTCACTGATCCCCTGCACCGCTGCCATCTCACAGCCCTACACACTTCCTCCTGTCTGTAACCCCACTGACCCCATCACCTTTGACCTCCCAATCAGATTTCAGCAGACCAGCGATCCAGTTCCTTCACAATATTCACTCAACACGGACTTCAGTCTTTACAACAAACGTTCCCTGTGGTTGTCCCCCGACACTCCTACACTGGGGGACAAGTCTGGCACGACCTTCTCTCCAGGTATAAGTTTCCTCAAAACAAATTACCTTGGCCTGCTTTCAAGGTCACAGAGGTCAAATATATTGAAAAGTTTGAATAGGACCATATGGTACAAAGCAGTGATACATGGGGCCCGTATTCATGAAACCATTCTCATGGCCCATGATCTATCATATAAATGTCTAGCCCAGCTGTAATCCCATATCTTATCAAAACTACCTAATAAGACCTCTATATTCCAACATCAGGGCTAGAAATTTATTTTTAAAAACGCTAGTCAGTCAGGCTAATAATTTCCATACACAATATCTACCAACCCAATTCAATATGATGCAACATGGTAAGTAATATCAGTCAAAGTCGTATAATTATATTTTTGAAGATAAATGGTTTTCTTTGACTTGAAACGTTCGAAAATTGGTAAAAAACAGAGATTTCATGGATTATTGTCACGTTCAAAGAGGAAAATTGGTATTTAAAAAGATTGTTTTATTAAAAAGTACTGAAACAAAAAAGAATTGATATATTGAAATGTTGTTAGCACATGAGAAACACATTTTCACAGGATCAATTTTCCTAAGCACTGGGGGCGAAATCCTACCTACTCCTTTCACTAGTCTCAGACTATATATAATTGGGCTACCCTTAATGTCTAGCCCTGGACATACTGATTTATCTGACCCGTACATGTATGTTGTATCCCTGAAGGTGTTGTATAAGACAGGTTTCACTGTATATAATACTGTTTTATCTGACCCATACATGTATGTTGTATCCCTGGAGGTGTTGTATAAGACAGGTTTCACTGTATATAATACTGTTTTATCTGACCCATACATGTATGTTGTATCCCTGGAGGTGTTGTATAAGACAGGTTTCACTGTATATAATACTGGTTTATCTGACCCATACATGTATGTTGTATCCCTGGAGGTGTTGTATAAGACAGGTTTCACTGTATATAATACTGGTTTATCTGACCCATACATGTATGTTGTATCCCTGGAGGTGTTGTATAAGACAGGTTTCACTGTATATAATACTGGTTTATCTGACCCATACATGTATGTTGTATCCCTGGAGGTGTTGTATAAGACAGGTTTCACTGTATATAATACTGGTTTATCTGACCCATACATGTATGTTGTATCCCTGGAGGTGTTGTATAAGACAGGTTTCACTGTATATAATACTGGTTTATCTGACCCATACATGTATGTTGTATCCCTGGAGGTGTTGTATAAGACAGGTTTCACTGTATATAATACTGGTTTATCTGACCCATACATGTATGTTGTATCCCTGGAGGTGTTGTATAAGACAGGTTTCACTGTATATAATACTGGTTTATCTGACCCATACATGTATGTTGTATCCCTGGAGGTGTTGTATAAGACAGGTTTCACTGTATATAATACTGGTTTATCTGACCCATACATGTATGTTGTATCCCTGGAGGTGTTGTATAAGACAGGTTTCACTGTATATAATACTGGTTTATCTGACCCATACATGTATGTTGTATCCCTGGAGGTGTTGTATAAGACAGGTTTCACTGTATATAATACTGGTTTATCTGACCCATACATGTATGTTGTATCCCTGGAGGTGTTGTATAAGACAGGTTTCACTGTATATAATACTGGTTTATCTGACCCATACATGTATGTTGTATCCCTGGAGGTGTTGTATAAGACAGGTTTCACTGTATATAATACTGGTTTATCTGACCCATACATGTATGTTGTATCCCTGGAGGTGTTGTATAAGACAGGTTTCACTGTATATAATACTGGTTTATCTGACCCATACATGTATGTTGTATCCCTGGAGGTGTTGTATAAGACAGGTTTCACTGTATATAATACTGGTTTATCTGACCCATACATGTATGTTGTATCCCTGGAGGTGTTGTATAAGACAGGTTTCACTGTATATAATACTGGTTTATCTGACCCATACATGTATGTTGTATCCCTGGAGGTGTTGTATAAGACAGGTTTCACTGTATATAATACTGGTTTATCTGACCCATACATGTATGTTGTATCCCTGGAGGTGTTGTATAAGACAGGTTTCACTGTATATAATACTGGTTTATCTGACCCATACATGTATGTTGTATCCCTGGAGGTGTTGTATAAGACAGGTTTCACTGTATATAATACTGGTTTATCTGACCCATACATGTATGTTGTATCCCTGGAGGTGTTGTATAAGACAGGTTTCACTGTATATAATACTGGTTTATCTGACCCATACATGTATGTTGTATCCCTGGAGGTGTTGTATAAGACAGGTTTCACTGTATATAATACTGGTTTATCTGACCCATACATGTATGTTGTATCCCTGGAGGTGTTGTATAAGACAGGTTTCACTGTATATAATACTGGTTTATCTGACCCATACATGTATGTTGTATCCCTGGAGGTGTTGTATAAGACAGGTTTCACTGTATATAATACTGGTTTATCTGACCCATACATGTATGTTGTATCCCTGGAGGTGTTGTATAAGACAGGTTTCACTGTATATAACACTGGTTTATCTGACCCATACATGTATGTTGTACCCTGGTGGTGTTGTATAAGACAGGTTTCACTGTATATAACACTGGTTTATCTGCCCCATACATGTATGTTGTATCCCTGGAGGTGTTGTATAAGACAGGGTTCACTGTATATAATACTGGTTTATCTGACCCATACATGTATGTTGTACCCTGGTGGTGTTGTATAAGACATGTTTCACTGTATATAACACTGGTTTATCTGCCCCATACATGTATGTTGTATCCCTGGAGGTTTTGTATAAGACAGATTTCACTGTATATAATACTGTTTTCAACATATCAAAGTCCTGTACAGTACTTTATGATAGTTGACTTGTTGTATCCCTGGAGGGGTTGTATAAGACAGGTTTCACTGTATATAACACTGGTTTATCTGCCCCATACATGTATGTTGTATCCCTGGAGGTGTTGCATAAGACAGGTTTCACTGTATATAATACTGGTTTATCTGACCCATACATGTATGTTGTACCCTGGTGGTGTTGTATAAGCCAGGTTTCACTGTATATAACACTGGTTTATCTGACCCATCCATGTATGTTGTACCCTGGTGGTGTTGTATAAGACATGTTTCACTGTATATAACACTGGTTTATCTGACCCATACATGTATGTCGTACCCTGGTGGTGTTGTATAAGACAGGTTTCACTGTACATACCACTTGTTTATCTGACCCATAGATGTATGTTGTATCCCTGGAGGTCTTGTATAAGACAGGTTTCACTGTATATAATACTGGTTTATCTGACCCATATATGTATGTTGTATCCCTGGAGGTGTTGTATAAGACAGATTTCACTGTATATAATACTGTTTTCAACATATCAAAGTCCTGTACAGTACTTTATGATAGTTGACTAATGATGATTTGTATACTTTACCAGGAGATAAGATATATGGCCGAATAGATGTCGACCCTGTCCAGACCTTGGGGTTGGAGTTTGACCTTGGCATGGAGAAGATCTATGTGTGTTCAGGCAAGGATGGCTACATCCCAAAGTACGCCCCTACCCGGGGGGAATACGGGTGTGCCGGGGAGTCAGAAAACCTGGAATACAGGTTCAAAATATTGGTAGGTACCTGTAACCTTATCCAAGGAGATCCAAGAAATATTTAGACAAACTTGATTATTGGTTATGCAGGGTTGTAGTGTCTGGCAAGTTGCCTATATAAATACACTAGTAGAGTGTTTCAAAATCTGCCTTCGTGCAAGTATCCTGAATTTGAAATTATAAATTCTTGAGTTATGAATAATTGAATGAGTAATTGTACAATCAGTGTTTAAATGTCTTTCTCAAAACCTAACATGTCTGCACATGTATATCTAAAATCTTTCAGTGATCTACATAATTTTAGGAAGAATAGGTAAATGGATTGTATAACATTGATTAACCTTGACCTTGAAATGACCTTGTCCTTAACAGGACCTCAGGGATCCACACACGGTGGATGAGAGCTTTGACGGCATTCCATTCAACGCAAGGTTGGCCCAGGATGACCCAAGTGCTGGGGATCTCCTCCGCCAACCCGGGGCAGATGGTTTCTCAGTAGACACCAAGCCTCTCTTTCAGGTATGTCTATTCATGGAATCCCATGTTTGTCTATTTATAGGGTATGAATCCCCCTTGGTAATTTAATGTACAGAAAGAACTGAAAAGCATATGGCCATGTTATTTATAGATAATATATATATATAAATATTTATATTCATAAAAAATAATTCATTATAATGCCCCTTGTTTTATTGCCTCTTCACGTACGACCAACATACAGTGTATATCAAGGTCCCCCTTTTTACCGACTTTCTTAACATGTCATCAATATGTTTCACTCTTTATATTGCCAAGACCTTTATATTATAACATTTTTTTAGTAAAAAAATTGACAGTATAATGAAGTTTTACTCAAATGACATTTACTTGAGGTAACTAGAATAAAGGATATTCAATATGCTCCTTAGCTAAAGTATAATATTTCTAAACGGAGTGAATTCTCCCCTTCCTGTGCAAATGACATCACCAGCACAAATGAACTAGTGTCTGACCTCAGAAATCTTGATCACTCTCGACACAAATCATCAACAGCCAGTTGTTACTGGTATATGAAACGAACTGTGTTTTATTTTCCCAGATGGATCCAGGGAGGATGTGGTTTCTCCATGCAGTGTTTTCCATGGGTTCCAGTGGGAACCCCAAACAGAAGCGAAGTGCTACATATCATTCCATGTCGACTGGGGAGGTCATAGGTCGTGTAAAGCGGGCCGAGACCCCAGAGAAAGGCACAAACATGGTGCAGATTGTATTTAGTGAAGTGCCCCAGGGGGATAGTGCCCTGGGGTCGTACGAGGTGTCAGAGGATGGTCGTGATACGCACTCCATCATGTACATTCTAGTAGGCATTTGTCTACTGCTGCTCATCTGTGTCATTCTCCTCGTCGTCTTCATCCGACGACGTCACAAACACTCATCTCCACCCCCTACCCCAACCAATACTCTGACCGTAGTGTCACGGGATGGCACCACCAGCGTGCTCTTCCTCGGTGACAAACACAAGATGGCCGAACAGGATCGGACGGAGGTGTGACAGAGACTAATACTCAATATGTTCCAAAGCTGTGATCATGTGACTTTATTTATTTCCTGGTCTTCATTGTGTTTTATTTGTTGAACCTGCTCATGTTATTCATATCAAAACAGCTTTTAGAGGATGTGACGAGTTCTTTTGACGGAGAATCTGGTTATGTCCCTTTGTATGTGTTTGTGTGTACCAGGCATATTGAACTATCATCACCTTTCACAAAACAATTCACCGAGAATTTTTAAATCAGCGGAAAATGTCCAGTGTGAAGTTTTGAGCAACACGTCGTGTAAATTACTCGTAACCTGTCAGTATTGTTACATCATCAGCTTTAACCTTCGCGTAACCATAGCAACACTCATTTATCAAAATGTATAAAGCAATTAATGAAAATATTTTTATTCCAAAATCATATCATGTGGTATTATAAAGGCGTCAGGTTTTATGTTTCAATGTTTAAGTTAGCGTATGAACCGGTCATATATAAGTGTCGATTTCTGAGTGTTAAGTCCACACTTGATTGTGTATTAATAATTGATCTTGACCCCTGACCACGACCTCTGACTGAGGAGCCCAATATTGCCATAGCTAAAATATAAAATCAAATGTTTTTCATCTGTAGCATATACAATTCTACCCCATTTAAAATGTATTTACTTTGAAGACAATCAGTCAGTGTCAGGGTAACATTGTAATCAAAGACAGGTGCCACTGCATTAGTACCTGGACTAAATTTCATTGTGATTTAGGTTATTAGGACATAGAACAAAAGTAACTTAGAAGTAGCATAAACGTCGTTTTATCAAAAAAAAAAGAGGTCATTGTGATGAAGTATAAAGGTCTTTATGACATAGAATAGAGGTCATTGTGATGAAGTATAAGGGTCTTTATGACAAAGAATAGAGGTCATTGTGATGAAGTATAAAGGTCTTTATGACATAGAATAGAGGTCATTGTGATGAAGTATAACGGTCTTTATGACATAAAATAAAGGTCATTTTAATTGCTTTATCTTTAGAAAGTCTCGTCTTCCAAAGAGTTGTGTAATATTTTGCTTACAGTGATTGCTGACTTGTGGCGAATGTTTTTGTACCGTCGTGTGTGAACTTTGTCAATGTTACTGGAGGGAAATAATTGTTGATGTTAGAACGTACTATGATATTATTGTGAACCAAGGGAGATAACTCCCAGAATGTTTCTCGAGTGATATGTTTCCCTGTGTGAAGTAAGCCTTATAACGCTGTCAAAGGTATGTGCATTGGCTTTGCCAAATTCCATATTTGTATCCATATAATATATATATTTATAAGATGTACAGTGCGTGGTTTTCTGCGGTTGTGTGACGCCATTGTGATGATGTATATAAAAATGTAATCAATGTATTTATTTACTTACAGTGTAGCGTATATAAGTGATGTTGTGAGATTGATAAAAGCAAAAAAATCAGTCAAGGGAAACCAACCGTGTCAATTAAATTGTACTTAATACGCATTCTAAATGATAAAAGTCAATGTACTACTTAGCGTGAACCTGAAGTGATATATCGTAGATTGGCCCATGTCACCTAAATTTGACGATCTTTCTCAATCACACTAAAACACGTCTGCTTTAGCTTCGTAAACTGATGCTTGACTATTTATAACTACAGCAAATCATTATCATGGATTGTTTTCAAACCGTTGGAAAGTGTGGATCTCAGAATCATCAAATCATGTAACTGATATTTGTAAATGTTTTTTTATACATGTATATAACTGTTCAATGGTTTATGATAATTTTTTTTATGTGAAGCGTTTGGACTCTGTTTTATCTGTTGCTTTAGTGTGATAAATTGATACTGAACTTTTTTTGGACTGTAGTACATTGGACTGTGCTCTGGGCTGTAGTTTAGACTGTTCTAGGATTGTATGATTCTGTTGGAAGCCAGTGGCTGGCCGTTTTTTTGTTTTTTTATTATTGTTTATGTTTTTACGATAAATTTACAAACTGGCATCAACCTAACGTCTAACAGAAACACTTTTTTGAGAAATACAGAAGAAAGATTCCTGACATTTTTATTAGCTTAGTGTCTAGAACTGTTTGTATATGTATTTTGTATTTAGCTTACTTTAACACTGAGATTAGCCTGACGTAGATAGACTCCCGATTGTTATACTCTGATAGAGCCACTTCCTGTGTGTTGTGTGCGGAGAATTGTTGAAGTTTTTTTTGCAATATAATTGTGCCAATACAACTAACCAAGTTACCTCCCCTTCTCTTGTTTTTGTTGTAACCATGGCAACTATGGTTGTCATGATTTTTTTGATTTTTTTTTGTATTGAAGCAAGGGCATCCTGAATTTGATGTAATATAAAAATACTCATTCATAGATCTCCGCAAGATTATCGCTAGTAGTCCAGGCCTACAAATCACAGCTTTGTTGTCAAATATGGTCAATATTTAATTTTATTCACGAAAAATAAGTTTTAGTGTGCCTTAAAGATCATGATTCGGAAGAGAAATATTGTTATTTTGTTTCAGGGAATATTTTTTTTCTTTTTGTAATCCAATTGTATTTTTCTAAAAATAGTCAAATTCTGTGTTTGTTATTACTGGGCGATAAATACATTGTAATACTTTTTTTTCTACAAATACATTGTAATACTACCAGGATGCAAATACTCTGTATTACAATTAGAGATGAAACTGACATATTACGAATATTGGATGAATATTTAATAAAAAACGATGAAGTGCATCAAAACATGAAAATTAATAGTATTAATTTAGATGTATAGTGAGTATGAACAATGTGGAATAGTGGCCTTGTTTTATTACTTACATCCTTTTGCCGTTGTCCTCACTGACCTCTAACCCCTGTTCCCAGCCTCCTGTAAGCCCCGCCCTCTTTATGTGATTTGTCTAGTAGATAGATACTGCTAGGCCTTGTGGTAGGCATCGTGAAAGCCTCAAATACAGACATTTGACAGACAAATCAATTGTTTTTGTAATTGTATGCTAATAAAAATACATGTCTATACCATGCTCAACATAATAAGTGTCCTGGCATGGACACTAAACAATTTTGGAAAATATTTCGCATAATTAATCGCAGAACTTATAGACATTTGACAGACAAATCCGATGTTTTTGTAATTGTACCATGCACAACATAATAAATGCCCTGGGTGATACCGGTCAGTTTATGTTCTAGGTTGATACCGGTCAGTTTAAGGTCTAGGTTGATACTGGTCAGTTTATGGTCTAGGTTGATACTGGTCAGTTTATGGTCTAGGTTAATACCGGTCAGTTTATGGTCTAGCTTAATACCGGTCAGTTTATGGTCTAGGTTGATACCGGTCAGTTTAAGGTCTAGGTTGATACTGGTCAGTTTATGGTCTATAGACTAATCAAACTATGGTTTAACCTATAATTAACTGCAACAAAGACAAAACCACTTGAATCACAAATTATATACGTCTATTAACCCTCCACAAAAAATCGGACAACGAAAAAAATCGGGAAGTTGTTTATTTCGCTGATTTAATATTGCAATTTTGATCGTAAATTGTATGGCATGTACGGGCCGCCGTAGACTGAAGAGTTGCCAAAGGGAGATAATGCCGATATGCAGACGAATTTTCTCGCTGGGATAATTTTAATATTGGTGAGTATATGTAACTGTTGTTATGGCTTGTACTAGGTTGATACTGGTCAGTTTAATGTTTATGTTGATACCTGTCAGTTATTGGTATATAAATGCTATGATATTACAATCATGTATAATGTAACTATAGTTGCCATATCTATTTTATGTTTGTGACAGAAATGTCAGATGACCCATGTAGCTTGTATGTGTCTAGTAACCAGGGTTTCTGCCTGAAGACCAGGGTTTCTGTGTAGAGACCAGGGTTTTCGCCTTGTAACCATGGTTTCTGTGTAGAGACCAGGGTTTCTGTTGAGACCAGGGTTTCTGCCTGAAGACCATGGTTTCTGAGTAGAGACCAGGGTTTCTGCCTAAAGACCATGGTTTCTGTGTAGAGACCAGGGTTTCTGCCTGAAGACCATGGTTTCTGTGTAGAGACAAGGGTTTTTGCCTTGTAATCATGGTCTATGTGTAGAAACCAGGATTTTCTGTGTAGTGACCATGGTTTCTGTTTGGTGACCAGGTTTTCTGTGGTTCCTGTGTGATGATCAGGATTCCGTGTACAATTCATTTAAACACCTTGAAGCACTATGATAATGGATAAATTGTATTTGTGTTTGATCTGTAACATGTTAACATGAAATGTACACTTTTATCTGCTAGAGATACTACAACAAAGAGTAAATAGAACAGATGTCATTAAATACTCAAAGGGAGACCACTCTGTCAGCATGATATTATTTCAAAATTTCCCATCAAAACATTTCCTAGGAAAATTTGAATATTACATGATTATTAAATTTTAACACACTGCAGGCACAATGAGAACTATTCATTGGAAATAAAATATATAAAACTGGAGTTTTGTTGATAGGTGTGAGTGAGAATGGGGCTGGTTTGTTTTGTGAGTGTGAGTGATGATATTGCTGTGATGAGAGAGGTACATAGTGAGGAGAGAGAGGTGACCCATTACTGTCACTATTGACATAAACTTATGGGATGCAATAAATAGTTGTCAACTAACACTGTTGTTTGTGTTTTGTTGTTTACCTTTTCTCCCACCCTTCACAGGTGTGTCACCCTTTTAAGCCAGAAATATCAGCTTGTCACCCCCTAAGGTGAGATAGCCCCGTGCAGAATGGCGCGATCTAAGTCATAACAATAGTATGACATCACGTCATCAATGTGTTGGTGTCATGTCAACAGAAGCAGACCATTGGAGACAACTCTGGATTTGCTATAAAAACATGCAATCAATGTTTATATTTTATACAATCACCACTTGTCGGCGGATTTGTGAGTTGAACAGGATGAGTTAAACATCCCCTACTTTGAGGGTGCAACAGAGAAATCTCCAACCCTCGGGATGATATTGTCGAATGTTTTACCCTCTGCAAAGTCTCGGGTAAGACAATCAAGAATATCAACCGAGGGTTGGAGATTTCTCTGTCACACCCTCAAGGTAGGGGAAGAACCAATGACAACATCAATGTTACGGCCCTAACGTCCTGCCGTATGACACTTGGTAATGACACGGTTTGTTCAGATTCGAATCGTTAATGGAAATTTTCAAAGTACAGTCACCTTGATGTTTCAAACTTTATGGGACAATCGGGAAAAATGTAAAACATTACGACTTCTTTCAAGGTCACAGGGGTCAAATGTGTCAAATACTTAAAAGGACTTTTCTGAAGAACTGAAAAGGAATCGAATCTTAATATTTGTCTGGTAGCTTCTAGGGATTGAACTTGCAAATGAAAATTACCTTGACCCACCATTAAGGTCACAGGGGTTGAATATATCAAACTTATAAAACGACTTCTTCTAAATAATGGAAATGCATAGAATCATATTATATGGCTGGTTGCTTCTTGGGATTGAGCCCAACAAAGTTTACAATTGTAAATTACCTCAACCTTCTTTCAAGGTCACAGGGGTCAAATATAGCACACACTGCAAACAGCTTCTTTTAACAAGTAGCTTCCTTAGATGGAGCCTAACAAAGTTTGTGAATGAAAATGACCTTTACCTACTTTATCCTATAGCTTTATCTTAATCTAATTTGATATAGAGTATCCTTGGCCCAACATGATTCAATTTTGTAGAAATCATGCCCCTACCTCACTATGGGGACAGGAGAATGGGACCCAATAAGTAAAGGGTATTACTGGGATACGTACAGAGCCAATATTTGGAGATATGAGTAGTATGGCATAATATTTATTTAATATTTTGCTATGACTGCTTAAATATCCAGGTGAGCGATACATGCCCTCTGGTTCCACGAACCCGTCCACTTCGAGATAATGAGGTTCAACTTTGTTTTGAGACTGATTGAAAAAAATTGTATTAGTAAATATGTGAAACGACAAACTCACTTTGAAGGTTGTCTTTTATACACTGCAGTATGTAGTTTAGATCAAAAGTTACTGTTTACATAAATCGATCAAACAGATCAGAGGAAAGATGAGAAGAGATCAAACTGACATAGAACACATGAAGATGGTACGATAGTGGGCACCAAGAAGATGGTACGGTGGTGGGCACCAAGAAGATGGTACGATGGTGGGCACCAAGAAGATGGTACGGTGGTGGGCGCCAAGAAGATGGTACGATGGTGGGCGCCAAGAAGATGGTACGATGGTGGGCACCAAGAAGATGGTACGGTGGTGGGCGCCAAGAAGATGGTACGATGGTGGGCGCCAAGAAGATGGTACGATGGTGGGCACCAAGAAGATGGTACGGTGGTGGGCGCCAAGAAGATGGTACGATGGTGGGCGCCAAGAAGATGGTACGATGGTGGGCACCAAGAAGATGGTACGGTGGTGGGCGCCAAGAAGATGGTACGATGGTGGGCGCCAAGAAGATGGTACGATGGTGGGCACCAAGAAGATGGTACGGTGGTGGGCGCCAAGAAGATGGTACGATGGTGGGCGCCAAGAAGATGGTACGATGGTGGGCACCAAGAAGATGGTACGGTGGTGGGCGCCAAGAAGATGGTACGATGGTGGGCGCCAAGAAGATGGTACGATGGTGGGCACCAAGAAGATGGTACGGTGGTGGGCGCCAAGAAGATGGTACGATGGTGGGCGCCAAGAAGATGGTACGATGGTGGGCACCAAGAAGATGGTACGGTGGTGGGCGCCAAGAAGATGGTACGATGGTGGGCGCCAAGAAGATGGTACGATGGTGGGCACCAAGAAGATGGTACGGTGGTGGGCGCCAAGAAGATGGTACGATGGTGGGCGCCAAGAAGATGGTACGATGGTGGGCACCAAGAAGATGGTACGGTGGTGGGCGCCAAGAAGATGGTACGATGGTGGGCGCCAAGAAGATGGTACGATGGTGGGCACCAAGAAGATGGTACGGTGGTGGGCGCCAAGAAGATGGTACGATGGTGGGCGCCAAGAAGATGGTACGATGGTGGGCACCAAGAAGATGGTACGGTGGTGGGCGCCAAGAAGATGGTACGATGGTGGGCGCCAAGAAGATGGTACGATGGTGGGCACCAAGAAGATGGTACGGTGGTGGGCGCCAAGAAGATGGTACGATGGTGGGCGCCAAGAAGATGGTACGATGGTGGGCACCAAGAAGATGGTACGGTGGTGGGCGCCAAGAAGATGGTACGATGGTGGGCGCCAAGAAGATGGTACGATGGTGGGCACCAAGAAGATGGTACGGTGGTGGGCGCCAAGAAGATGGTACGATGGTGGGCGCCAAGAAGATGGTACGATGGTGGGCACCAAGAAGATGGTACGGTGGTGGGCGCCAAGAAGATGGTACGATGGTGGGCGCCAAGAAGATGGTACGATGGTGGGCACCAAGAAGATGGTACGGTGGTGGGCGCCAAGAAGATGGTACGATGGTGGGCGCCAAGAAGATGGTACGATGGTGGGCACCAAGAAGATGGTACGGTGGTGGGCGCCAAGAAGATGGTACGATGGTGGGCGCCAAGAAGATGGTACGATGGTGGGCACCAAGAAGATGGTACGGTGGTGGGCGCCAAGAAGATGGTACGATNTGGTGGGCACCAAGAAGATGGTACGATGGTGGGCACCAAGAAGATGGTACGATGGTGGGCACCAAGAAGATGGTACGATTGTGGGCACCAAGAAGATGGTACGATGGTGGGCGCCAAGAAGATGGTACGATGTTGGGTGCCAAGATCCCTCTGGGATCTCTTGTTCTTCTTTCATTGACTTCAGAAAACTTGAAAAATTGTTACAACAGTTTCAGATCCGATATGTTTTGCTCAGAGTGTTAAAATTTGTTAGATTGGTTGAAGATAATTTTTTGATTTGGTCTTTTATTGTTTAACGTCATATCAACAGCTATGGTCATTTGAGGACGCCCTTGAAAAATGCATGCGTGTAGTGTAAGCTTGTGTGTTTTGGGAGGCTGGGATATGTTTGTGTTTGTCTCGATCCTTGTGATAGTGCGGAACTGATGCCAACTTTATAGTGCTACCTCACTGAAACATACTGCTGAAGACACCCAGCAGGACACCCCATCCGGTCACATTATACTTACAACAGGCGAACCTGCAGTCGTCCCATTCCTAAATTGCTGAGCGTTAAGCAGGAGTAGAAACTACCATTTGTACAGACTCTGGTATGTCTCGGCCAGGGGAAAGAACCCACAGCCTTCCTCACAGGGGCGAACACTCAACTAAAGGCCAAAAGTGAGGCATTGTCAAGAGAGACATTATAAATAGGAAAAAGAAAGTTGTTGGTTGAAGATAAAATTTCCCAGTTCATCTTCATTTACGGTAACAAATCTGTTTGTATGGGGTTTGTCAGCCCCAGCATCCAAGTTTGACGTCTACTCTGGTTGCTGTTTTTGCCGGGCCTCTGAGTTCAGTAACAGTGACCTACTTCCTACATTTAATTTTTTCCAGTTCAACTTTAAAATCAATTCTAGACACTTCTACATTATAAAATGTTGCAGAACCTCTTGGAACAATAAATAACGGTACATTACGTACCTGTAGTGGCGTAGGAATATGTTCCCAATGACAAGGTTTTGACCAATCACAGCACCTTTAGGTTTTATTAGCTCACCTGGCCCGAAGGCTTATGCCGTACTGCCGCGTCGGTCGTCCGCGTCCGTCGTCCGGTGTCCGCCCATCAACTTTTTCTTTTGAACGACTTCTTCTGAAGAACTGTAGGACCTAGGGTCATGATATTTGACCAGTAGGTACCTAAGATGGAGTGCTATAAAGTTTCCTCATTAAAATGACCTTGACCTACTTTCAAGGTTAAAGCGGTCAAATATGTGAAAAATTTCAAACAACAATTTCCTAAGAAACATTTGAACTAGAGTCATGATACTTGGGTATGTTATGTAGACCAGCAGTACAAATATTTTTCTCCGTTACAGTTATGAGGTCAAAGGTCAACTTTAAATGCTAGTGGGGGGTTCAAATGTCAACTTTGGTTAAAATCTTTAACAATCTTCATCTCAAGTTCCATAAGGCCCAGGGTCATGATATTTGGCCAGTAGGTAGCTAGAATTGAGTGCTATAAAGTTTCCTCATTAAAATGACCTTGACCTACTTTCAAGGTCACTGGGGTTAAATATGTTAAAAACTTCAAACAACAATATCCTAAGAACCATTTGAACTAGTGTCATGATACTTGGGTAAGTTATGAAGACCATCAGTGCAAATATTTTACTCAATGATAGTAATAATGTCAAAGGTCAACTTTAAGTGCAAGTTGGGGTCAAAGGTCAACATGAGTCAAAGTATTTAACAATCTTCTTTTCAATTTCCATAAGGCGCAGGATCATGATAGTTGGCCAGTAGGTACCTGGGATGAAGTGTTATAAATCTTCCTCATTAAAATGACCTTGACCTACTTCCAAGGTCCCTTGTTTCATTTATGTTAAAAACTTCAAACAAAAATATCCTAAGAACCATTTGGACTAGAGTCATCATACTTGGGTATGTTATGTAGACCAGCTGTGTGAATTGTTTTCTTTATTACAGTAATGAGGTCAAAGGTCAACTATAAGTGCAAGTC